GCAACGGAATTATTCTAAGTTTATATTGTTAGAGCGGGTTGCACGCTGCAACGAAAATTAATTGGAGGTTTATGACTGTTGGATTGACTTCAATTATTGATATGATTTACCAGTCTTAATTCTATACCTGTTATTATTATTATTATTATTATTATTATTATTGCATACAGGTTAATGTAAGCAACATGCCTTAGCCTCGTCACTACTTCGTCGAGGTTAGTCTCGGCAATTGCAGAGTACATGGGGTCGGTTGTACTCATACTACACTCTGCACTTCTTGTGTAGATACCGGAGTTGGTCCCAGCAGCGTACTGTAGATTTTGCTCGGATTCAGCTATCAGAGGAGACTTGAGGTATAGCTGCACAGCGTTCGCAGCTATGAAGTCCCCTTCTATTTTATCTTGGCTGTGTGCTTTCTTTGAGACAACTTTATTTTATTCAGACCCTTGTTTGTATTATTCTAGAAGTCCATGCACTTGTGACTCCAGTTCTGGGATGGTATTTAGATATCGTATTATTTTTGGTTTGCACATTTAAATTCAAATATTATTCCATTTGTTGGTTCATTATTATTTAATTAAAATAAATTATTAAAAATGATTTAAATTATTTTAACGTTGGCTTTCCTAGCAAGTGAAATGTTAGACGCCATCACGGTCCCGAAGGTGGGAATTTTGGGTCGTGACAGTTCATGAAGGCGAAATAAATGCCTGCCACCCGGAAGCATTTAATGGAGAATATTCTATAGCATTACGTATATAGTCCGTTACAGAGAATATGGCATTCACTGCCTACCGTTACATATTCTTTAATGACCCTCATAATTGTTATTTAAGAAGAGCTTGATCCTAGGACCTTGTTCCCTAGGTGTAGTTATAAATAGAGGCTCAACAACCATGGTAAAGGACACGAATTTTCTGACAAGCCGATACTATACTTTGTTCAAAAGCTCAATAATATTTCATCTTCTTGCTTATTAATATTGTTACTACTGCCTCCGGAAGTTTTGCTCCCTGAATCAAACTTTTTACTGTATTATCTCGATTTCAACGTTAAGTCTTACATTCTTGTTTAATTTACTTATCATTTTGGGATCAAATTAATTTACTTGTCAACGATGTACAAATTCAAATGTACCTTTTACGGGTAAACATTAATGGTGATATCCGGATCTAACTTGTATAATATCACACAAGTTTTAATTTTTATTTTCGGTTAATTATGTGAAAGAAAATTACATTCTAATCAAGAATTTGCTCAACTTTGTGCGCCTCTTTATTCTACTCTATCTCTCTCTCTCTTTCTCTCTTTTGCAATTAATATCTTTTTTGTACTCGTAACATGTGTATAAAGAAGAAAATTCATCTTTGACTAGTCTAGCTTTTATGGGGAAAAAATGAAATGATTTTTTTTTTATTCTTACAACGAATGTAAGGGGCATGGGTATAGGACATTTCACTCCATAATTGATATTTTTATTTTAAAAGATTTATGCTCAGGGGACGAAAACCGTTACAAATGGTTTAGAAAAAATTAATAAGATTTTTTCAACGTCATGAGAAAATTAAAACTTTTGAGTGCATGAATGTAATGATCCCACTAGTTATCTGAAACCAAATTTTGACTCGGTTCATATCTTACTTAATGAGACGTGGAACACCGAACAAAATTATTTTAAAATGTTTTAAAGTTGGACAAAAATGAAAGAATGTGACACTATACACGTATAATTTTATCTATAATAACATTTCAAAGTATAATTTTCTTTTATCGATAATAACATTTCAAAGTATAATTTTCTATGACAAGTAGAATCACTGCTGGGAATAATTTTAGTGCCAAATATATAGTCCAAATCAATAAGGGTTGTGATGAGATGAATACTATTGAGGTCCAAGTTCGAGCCCTAAAATAAAAAATGTCATAGGAGCGATTCCTTTTTAACGAGTTATGCAATACAAATCCAGATTAATCCGAACCCGATGCAAATAATGAAAATCAGGTTGGAAACATAAAAAAAAATTGTCCAAGAATAAAAAGGTCAATTGTTTGGGAATGTAACCAAAGGAGTTTAGGTAGTCCAAAGGAAATAGGGGTAAGTAGTAGTAGAAGCTAGATGGGGCGACAATAGAATCTCAGATACACGCCTTGATTTGTTTTTCTCAATTATTTTTCATTGATATCTAGGCATTGACCCATAAATATCATTATTATTCATGTTACTATCTATTTATTTATTTGTTTTTAATTTTTGGTTGATGATGGAAAATTTGTCCCTTCTTAAAAGAAATTCAAATCTTGACCCCGTCGACACCGCCGAGCATGGCCGTCCAAGATCCCGGCCCCTCGCCGTTGAACCACGTGGCAACCTTACCTGTATTCTAGGACTCTGCCGGCAGCTACTGTTGATGACGTCAATTTGATTCGTTTTCTTAATCTTACCATTGGAGTATTATTTATTTTTTCCTTTGAGGTTTAATATAATGTAATTTGAGTTTCTATAATTCATAAAAAGATTACCTAGCAAAAGTTTCACATGGATTACGAGGATTTCGAAGAGGTATAAAATACCCGTGCTTAAAATTAATGTGACACGTAAATAAAAGAAAGTATAGTAATTATATTTGGCACAGATAATGTAAAGAAACGATTGAGTTACTTAAAAATTAACTCTGCTCATATGAATATAAAGCAGAAATGATTATGAAACTCATAAAGGAGGATGGTTATGTAGGTTGACCACCAATGTAAAAATAATCTGATGAATCTTCAAAATACAAAGAGGAATAATATAACTAGTCCTAACTCGTTTAAAATTAAGGCACAATTAATTGATAAATGAAGGTTACTTTTTTCTTTTTAGTTTAACAATTCAGTTTCTAAAACCTACTGTCCCAACTAATCAGATTCGCCTTCCGTATGGCTAATTAAATAGGAGGTCTCTATTTTCATGACTCGAACCCGAAATCTCTAGCGGGAAGGAATCACGTACGTCTCAAACACTTGTTAGTGGTAATTAAGATCACTTAAAAGCAATAACAATTAATAGCTTATAGCAATCATGATTTAGTAACATGAAAAAGACCATTTGCTTCGTCACTATCCATGCATATAACTTAAAACTTTTTAAAATTATCTTTTTAGATGGCATATTGTGAGTTCGAGTCATCCCAAAATCAAGGTGGAAAGTTCTTGGAGGGAGGGAGCCGAGGGTCTATCGGAAACAGCATCTCTACTCATGGTAGGGGTAAGGTCTGCATACATACTACTCTTCCTAGACCCCACTAGTGGAATATATTGGGTTGTTGTTGTTGTTTGATGTATATATAACTATATAAATTAGTTAGGAATAGATGGAGAGAGGAGGGGACTGCTGTGCTAGCTTGAGTGAGACCTATTTTACCATACACAAAGAGGGGGTTGGGTACTAGAGTACTACTGCTTGGAAAGAGGCTCTTGTCTATTTCATGTCCTTCTTTCCTTCCTCCTTCCCTTCTTATCCCTTCTTCTTTTCTCTCATCTTCTTCTTCTTCTTCTTCTGTGGAGGAGGAGTCAAAGAAAGATCATTGTATTAGAAAAAAAAAGAAAACAAAAATGGGGAATTGTCAGGCTGTAGATGCAGCTGCACTAGTAATACAACATCCTAATGGAAAAATAGATAGGATGTATTGGCCTATGACTGCTAGTGAGGTTATGAAAATGAACCCTGGTCATTATGTTTCTCTCATTATTCCTCTTCCTATCTCCTCCTCTGATGACAATTCCGACGATAAAACTGTTCGTTTCACCCGTGTTAAGCTTCTCCGGCCAACGGATACTTTAGTTCTTGGTAGAGCTTATAGACTTGTCACAACTCAAGGTATGTATGTATCTACTTCTTTATTCAAGTTCACAACTTTTACTCTTTTGTTAATTAGATCTTTTCTTGATGTTAATAAAAGCTTGTGGCGTTTCATGGTTTTACAGAGGTGATGAAGGTATTGAGAGCAAAGAAACATGCAAAGATGAAGAAGAACCAACCAGAGTTGCAAGAAAATCAGAGGTCAAGTTGTGAACTTGAAGCTGGGAAATCTGAATCAGATAAGAACAAGGTAGGAGTAATTATTTTGAACCAATCACATGTAGATTTTATTTTTGTCTTGTTCTTTCTTAAAATTTACTACTATCCACCTAGAAACAGAACAAGTCACAGAAAGGAAAAGGGTACTACAACAACTATGCCTTTATCCCTAATAACATGGTTGAAACCGACTATATGAATCCTCTATATCTGTTGTGTTCTATTTAAGCTAGTCTCATCAACTAGTTAGAAAAAGGTAGACAGGAAAAGAGGAAGTTCTTAAATGCATGGCCAATTAAACACCTATACAAACTTTATATGCCTTTTGCTCAAGATAATGCTCTATAAGGATGGGATCAAAAACTAAACGAAAAAGAAATATTCCAAGAATCAATAACCAATAGCAGAGTTGCAAACATGAAAGAGACTAATATATAATGATATTCAGGTTAACTAATTACATAAAATTGATCATTTGCAGGCTAGACATGAAGGACAAAGGCAAAGGCCTGGAATGACAAACTTAGCTGCTGCTGCAAGGTCCAAATCATGGCGTCCGACTTTACAAAGTATTTCTGAGTCCAGTAGCAATCCGATCACCGGCAATGGGACTTGTAAAAGATAGGCAATAAGGAACTCACAGAAGTTGTCATTGTCATTCACAACTCTAGTTCATGAGGGATGTTGAGCAATAATGTTTTTGTATAGAATAGAATGGAAACTAACTCCACTTGATAGAAAGAACATCCTATAATGGAAATACCTATTCTCCAGAATTCTAGCATTGTTCTTTTCTTTGAGCAGAAGCTAGATTCAAGATTAGCCATGACTATTTTCCCTCTTCTTTTTTTCTTTTTTTTAATTTTATATCGATGGTGTTCGGTTCAACTTTCGTACACCTCGACTATTCCACCAGATACTAGATACCTACTACTCCAATCTTTTACTAGCACAGCAACTCTAAAGATTAGCCATGATTATTGACCGACGTATGCAGGAAAAATGACCGTTTTCATTGTCTTAGTTGTTTTGAGTTCCAAGGTCTTCCAATCCTGATCAACATAATTTTGAGCCCACAATAATGATGCTCGCGCAGCCAATGCCGCTCCTGGAAGTTTCCTCTCCTTGAGAGCTACCATCATATCAGTAAAAGGCTCCACCAGTAGTGTCCCGGGTCCTCCATATTCTTTGTGCAAGAATTCATTAAAAATCTGATTAATACAAAAGAAGGTACTTTAAAGCTAAAGAATAGCAAACCAACTGTATAATCTTTTAATACTCATGAAAGTAAAAAGCATCATATAATAAATGTTTATTCTAGAAAATGCCAGTGTTGGTGGCACAAAAGGTCAAGTACAGCTTGATATAAACTGTCCAGCCAGGGCTGCTGTATTACTATAGTAACAAGTACCAGATATTTCTTTCAAATATCAATCATTGTACTATTTCCAGGTCAGAAACAAGTCAGATTGTCAGTAGAAATGAACATGATTTTAAATTGAACATACTCCAATCTGTAGTACACTAAATGACCTTTGGATCAACAATTGTGTGCTAGCTAAGTATGTCAGTTAGTACAATTATTTCACTAGAAAAGACCATAATGGGTGTGGTAGTGTTTTGTGTGGTTATTCATTCCAGGTTGTTAAACTGAAGTTGGAAGATAATAACAACCCAGTATAATCTTCCTAGTGGGGTCTGAGGAGGGTAGTGTGTACGCAGACCTTACCCTTACCCTGGGGTAGAGAGGCTGTTTCCAATAGACCCTCGGCATCCTTCCCTCCAAGAACTCTCCACCTTGATCTTGGGGTGACTCGAACTCACAACCTCTTGGTTGGAAGTGGAGGGTGTTTACCATCAGAGCAACCCACCTTGAAGTTGGAAGATAAAAGAAAATAAAAGGGTAGCCCGATGAACTAAACTCCCCCTATGCGGGGTCCGGAGAAGGGTCGGACCACAAGGGTCTATTGTACACAACCTTACCCTATATTTCTACAAGAGGCTGTTTCCACGGCTAGAACCCGTGACCTCATAGTCACACGGCAGCAACTTTACAAGTTACGCCAAGGCTCCCTTTTTTAAGTTGGAAGATGACAAGCAAATATTTATGATAGTCTGAAATTTTCTGGAAATTTCAGACAAAGGAATGGATTCACTCAATCTAACTAAAAGCCGTTAACACCCCCAAATATTATTTGCTCAAGAGGACTATAGCTTCAACTATAGAAAGTAAAATCAACCAGCTTTCAAATTTACACAATTTTCACAGATCAAGGGCAGAATATTAAAATGAAAAAGGGCAGGCTATTTCAAGAAACTCTTCTCCAGATCCAATCAAAGTCAGCACATTTAAGTAGAACATTCAATACTGAGACAGATTCTCAGCATGTCAATTTATTGCTACCAAAGACAAACTATTAGAAAAAAAAGCTCAAATTATGTTGAGAATATTGAATTTTCTTTCCTTCTAATGTCAATTACCCAATTGGCACTATTTCTTTTATAAGTCTCATCTTCATTAATTGAAACATCTTAATCTTGAAATTCTATGGGTTCAAACTTCAAACAAAGAAAAGTAAGAGGCAAAAGAAAATCCAAACTAAGTCAGTTACACCTAATCATATCTGGTGGAGTAAAGTCATCTCATCCTTAAAAACTAACAAGTGAAAACCAGATAAAAGTAAGTATTCTTAACGTAGTTAGAGGCAGCAAAAGAGTTTACAAATTCCTGAGATTAATATTTGGGAAAGGAAAATGCTACAACTGCTTACTCCGTATGTTCTTGTAACGTATCCTCGAGGTTTTTAAGTTAGATGGAATGATTTATACTGCCAGAGAATTGTTTCAATGTTGATTAAAATCTATCCTTATGGACCACTAGAGAAGTTTTCAGAATCAGCCAGCTAATACTATGTCTGTGGTAATTACTCTTAAGCTCTCCACATAGGCCATAGCATCAATGGAACCCAAACTTTTATGAAACGAGGACTATATGCTGGACTGGAGGTACACAAATTCTGGTTTTTAATCTTCAAAAGATCCACGAAAACCGCTATGAACCTCACTGTTGCAGGATCAATTGGAAGAGAGCTTCATGATCCTCTAAAGACTATAACTGCAAAAGACGAACTCTCAACGCTAAATCCCATTCAATTCCGAGCAGAACTTTTTAAACTACAGTTATTTTCTAATATGTGAACCAAAACTAATAAAATTGTTCCTTCCTATGCTATAAGCTCCGATATCTGTCAACAATTATAGTAAAACTACGGATAGATCTTCCAAGCAATCACTTCCAGTTTATTGCATTTTATTTTAATGACTTTTAAGTTTAGGCAATTTTTAATGCAATTAGACGATTTCATGTTCCTTGTTCATCAGTTTCTTATGCTCTTTTCTTCATCCTGTACTAAGGGAAGAAACATGAAACTATGAACAACTAGAGGAACGAAGCAGATATCTTGGAACATAAGCAACCATGATTCAGTAGAAAGCCTAAAACCAGAATTAAATGAAAATCCACTAGAGCAACACTATGAAATTCAGTTGTGACATTTAATAAACTAAGAATTTACACATTAGTGAATAGAACAGTTCTATGCTGCAACATTGCGATCTCTTCATCAATTAGTATGGTAATCCAAATGTTGGAACATAAAGCAAGGACAGGAATCCATCTTTACATATTCAAGAAAGGTTCAGCATACATGCCTTCTCATTTACCAAGCACAAGAATATAATCTTTTACCATTATACGCGCATTAAAAAGCGAACCAGAAAACATTTTCATAAAAAAAAAATTACAGAAATGAGGAGATCAATCAAAAAGAGATGTTAATTAATCAAACGTCCGACCGAACACTACACATGTATTATAAGTATTCAATTAGAAATAGTCCAGCCAAAGTAACATGAATTAGACCTAACATACGAGAAGTATCAAAAATAAACCAAGCTACATATCACGAGATGTCCAATTCCTAAACTTTAACCAAATCTCATTCTATTACCACCATATAGAAAAAGAAATTCTTCCTAACACTGAGAAGTGCCACTAGAAAGCCTTACCTCAGCACAAACACTAACAACATCATCAAGCTCGTCCCCAAATGTCTCCTTTTCTTTGGACAGTTTCTTCAATAGCTCAGCCTTGAACTTCTGTGTCTCCTACATTTCGCAGCTAAATAAATCAATCAACATTAAATAGTGACAAATTAAAACTCAATTCCAAACTAGTTAGGTGCGTTAATGAATATGCTATTGTTTAAAGGCACATAGGGGATCCCAATTAAAGATGTCAATCAATATTAACAAATAAAAACTATATATAATTAAGTTCTGTGCACGTAAAAATTTATTCCATCAAGTCATTTAGTAAAAGGTAACTGGAAGTAATTCTCTATACAATATTGGTAACCTTAAGAAAATGGAAAGCAATCTTCTGTAATAGGTGAAACTATACTGATGCATAACTTAAACCCATCAAAAAAACTACTAAGTATTAAATTTCAAACTAATTACTACTCTATTGGGGCTCATATCTTTCAAACAAATTTTCCTTCAATAAACTATCCCACAAACAAACCACGAATTGTATTACAGTAATGAGTAGTATTATTTTTCTAGTTAAAGGGTTAAATTTTAAGTTACATAAATAGTGAATGATGCAAGAATAAGTTAATTACAGCAACAGCAAATTCAGGGATTGGGTCAGGATAGACATATTTCTGAGGCTGTGTTGAACTGACAAGTGCATGCCTCGTTGAGAAGTGAAACTGGAGAGGGATTTTGGGTTGGATTGAATGATTAAATATTTTGGAGGGAAATGGAACTGCTGCGGCGGTGAATGTTAGAATGTGAAGCGCCATTGTTAGAGATTTTTGGAGGGAGGAGAGTGGTAGTAAATTTGTAACAACAACAGTGCCGGTGAAACAAGTAATTAAGGCACTTGCTTTTATTGAGTATTTTTAGTAGAAAAGTAATGTTATTCACACAAAAGAAAAGATAGTTTTGTATGAATTGTTGTAAATTTTTACACTCTCTTCATTATTTATTCAAGTCACAATCTTTCTCTCATAAGATTATATACTTATCTCTTTCTTACTTTCTTTCTCCAACAATTTAAAAGTTCAACTGTTCAAAAGTTTAGTGGTAAAAATTTGATATCAAAAATTACTGCATTAACTTTGAATATTCCTTAAGATATAATAGTAACTTCAATATTGATGGTTTAGACTTATTTTTTAAATTAAAAAATATTAGGAAAAATAGTACAAGTAGAAAATAATACTTTAATCGACATATTCAATCAAATAAAAAGATTTAATTTTTTTTCAAATGCTTATATTTTTTATAAAATAATATTACCAGTTTCTATAATATTACCTCAACAAAAAGAAGTTTTTTAATTGACATATTAAAACAAATAAAAAGACTTGATTTTTTTTCAAATGCTTATATTACTACTATATATAAATGAACAAGGGTGTACGAATTGAACATTGCATTATATAGTTGTACAAATAGTAATGTGGATTGTACCATTAACGTGGGCCTCTCTCTTTGGTCATTAAACCACGTGTATTGCTTCTGAGAACACGTGTTCTTCAAAAGTTAATGGCAGAATACATCGGCAGACCATTAAACTTGTCCTGTGTCACTTAGATACAAAAAACACACGGGCCACATTGCGTGGGAATCACAGATGTTTAGCGCGTGAGGGCTATAAAAAAAGCTGACATGGACTATTCAAACGGTAATAAATCAAACCTCACGTTATTTTCCTTATTTTAACCCCTTTCTCCATTGTTATCTTCTCTCAAGCCCTAATTTCTCTCCATTTCAACTGAGCTAAATTCTTCATCAAGAAGTGAAAATCGGAGCTTTTGTTTTTCAATTTGAAAGAGCTCCATCCTCCTTAGTCGAATTTTTGACGTAACCTTTCCTGCTACTTCTCTTAATTTCTATTCGAATAATGTCCCAAAATACTGAAAGTGTTGATTGGTGTCGATGTTGTCGTCCGTGTGAACTGAAAATTTCATGGAGTGCTACTAACCCAGGAAGAAGGTACTTTGTACGCAAAATTGGCAAAGTAAGTGTATTCCACAAAAAATTCTTTATACGATTTTATTTGTCATTAATTTATATCAGTTGATTTTTTTATTTTTTGAAGGACAATAGGGGATGTAAATATTTTAGATGGTTTGAGGACGAGTTTCCTGAGCAAGCGAATAGAGTTATAGGGGGTTTGTTGAATAGAGTGAAGGCATTTGATCAAGAAAGAGATCGAGCAAAAAAATGGAGGAACATAGTAATGGACTGAGCCAAGTTTCTGGGAAAATCATTTGTAATTTAGGCTAGTTAATGTAGTTAGTGTTGGGAACTATTGCTTTACTTTTGTTCATTGCTGACTTGCTGCTGTACTTGGGATGGTAGGGATCCTAATTTGTGTAATTGATATTGCGTTATAGTAGAGCCAAGTTTCCTCATGTTTGCAACTTCATTGTTGTACTTAAACAGATAGATGGCTTTTGCAACCCTCCAGAATTGTTTCCTCATTTCTTCTCCCTTCCATTTCTTAGACCAGTTAAACCATATGTGCCTTGCACACATTCTTTGTTATGCCATAGGTAATAACTCCTTAACTGATACCAAAAGCCCCTGCAAAATAATATATACAACATTAGAAATTAAACTAGAATATAGAATACTAACAACTAACAAAGAGAAATAAATTATTTACTTTTTGCATATCTGACATTACTGTTAAGCCATGACCTTCACCTAGTTGCAAATATTCTATCAAGTGACCGAGGAACCAACTCCATGACTGTTTAGTTTCATGGTGTACAATAACCCAAGCAATAGGAAACATCTGTTGGTTCCTATTTCTTCCCACAACCACCAGTAATTCACCCTTGCAACTTCCCTTTAGGAAACAACCATCTAAACCAATGATGTTTACATCCTTCTAACCAACCTTTCTTCAGTGCATCAAAACAGACATAGAAGTACTGAAATAGGTTCTTACCAGGCTCAGATTCTCTGTCAATTTTCACAAAACAGGAGCTGGCAGGATTGGTTTCCTTAATATTATCAGCATAATCACACAATCTGTCATACTCCAACTTCCAATCCCCCATAAACTTTTCCAAAACAATCTGTTTGGATCTATATGCTATTGTTTTGCCAATATACAATTCCAACATCTCTCTAACTAGTTCTTGAATTTTCTAGATTCTCATAAGAGCAGCAGTAAGTTCTTGCTTGAATTTATTGGCAATGTATTTTGAATTACACATCTTGTTGGTGTTCATTGGTTGACATTTATGAACAAGATGATATTTTTTTATCATAAAGTCACCAGAATCTCTATCAATTGAAGCAGACAACTCCCACTTGCATTTTTTTGATTTACACTTCACCCTTACCCTATCCTTCTCATTTGGGTTAAGCTTTAACTGAACTTTATACTCTATTGCATAATCAACCACTGCCTTCCTAAATTCTCCAATATTTTTAAATATCACGCCGAACTCAAAAATTGCCACTTTACAGTTAGTGTCATATCTAACCTTTATGCTCTTTTTTCTATTGGGAAGGTCAAGACCAGGCTGAAAATCCACCTCTACCTCTTCATTAGTATCATCACTGCCAGCATCAGAACTGTCAATGAACTCCTCATCACCTCCTAATCTGCCAACATATTTTCCTTTTTTGTTAAATTCGGTATCTTCAAAACCTCTATCAATTCCAACTTCTCCTACAGGCACACTAGCAGTTTCAGGTTGTTTCTTCCTTCTGGTAGCATTCTTTTTGGTTCTCCTCTCATTTCTTAAGGTCCTAGCCTTTTTATCAACTTCACTATCATCCTCGTCAGGAATTTCATCAAGATATGACTCATTACTAGCTACCTCTGAAATAATTTCTTCTTCATCAGCTCCTTCTCCATCATTCAGATTCTCTACACTAGCAACTTCCTCTTCTACATTACCAGAAAAATCTTTCTCACCAGCAGTAACCCCTTCCCCACCAATAACAGTCTCAAATTCTTCAAGTGGAGGCTCTTCAACAGGTTGTGGTCTATTTATACTGTCTGGACCATCTTCTACTGTTGCCCTAAATGAATTATTTATTGTATTGCTACTTTCTTCAACAATCTCTGGCCCACATAAATATCCAATTGGGACCACACTATCAGGAATTATCTCAACAACATGTGAAATGTACAAGTCTAAAATACCCTCCTTACAGTAACAAGCAATATTATATAGTTGTTCATCATTTTCCACCAAGATAAATTCTTTTGAATTAGGGTTAAAGACATAAAAAAAAACCAACAGTTACATAACCCAACCCCCTTGTGTAATATTGAAGTTCAAACAGGGAGAAATGGTCTTTGTCAATAGAAAATTGATTTATCTCTATATTAGTGACATATTTGGCACCTGAAGATTCGGTAAATATTTTACTATGGTGAAAGCGGACAACAATGTATTCGTCCACTGACATGATTTTAACCTAAAGCGAACAAAAAAAAAAATAACACCTGAGCGCAGTCAGCGAGATTCGAAAAAAAGAAATGAAAAAACCTATTTTTATATCTACAATTCCAAAACACCTATTTTTATATCTACAATGCTGAAGGCCACCCAAAATAATCGACTTCACAATTTCTTCAGATAAAAAATTGCAGATGATAAACGAAGACGAGAGTGAAATTTGGACGAATTTCAGGTTGTTAGCTTCAATCTTTTATGACAATTAGTAGATGATTCCATAATCTCTCTAATGGAGCAATCGATTTTGGAAGGGGAAGAGGATAGACGGAGACGGGCGTGAGGTTAGTTTTTTTTTACTGAGGGCTGTAAAGATTAAAAGTAATTATATGGGTTGTGCAGTTTAATCTTGAACCTGATATGTTTGACTTGGATTTACCCGGTACACATGAATCTTACGTGGACAATTATTTCACATGGAAGAAACTAATTAGTCGGCTATTACACGTTAGCAGCGCTCATATACACGCGCTTGACTTATAAAAGCCCGTTTGTTTTTTGTGTCTAAGTGACATCTTGTCACAGGGTTCAAATGGAAACTCAAGTTCATCTCTGGGTCTACGCCTGCTTCCTCATTCAACTCCTACGCTTTTTTCCCATCTCCAAGACCGTTTTTTTTGTTCTCAGATCTTGACAATGATATTCATCTCGACGGTATTACACTGATATTGTGGATTTAAGATGAATCAGTCCGGGTAATTTTTTCTTCAGTTTCCTTTTTTTAATCGCTGAGTTATTGCTAATTGGCTACTTCTCTGTTCATTGGAAAGTTATTGTTGCATTTTTAACATGCATATAATAATTTTATTGATTTACACATACACTAGTCTCTAAGTTTTTGTATGTTTTCGTACATACCTCTTTCAAAATCCTCTTGTAAGATTAGTGATGCCCATAAAGTGCTCGATAAAATCTCCATTGGGAAAACCTTGCCTATATTTTTGAATTTGCATTATTCTCATGATATCTTTGTTGATGAGTTTGTAACTTTAACAGTTAGTAGTTCGTATGGATTTTTGCTTTCATATACTGGAATTAAGTTTTTTAGTTTAGATTTTGAAACTCACGTTTTTTGGAATTTAGGTTCAAGCTTATGGCTATATTTTTCTTTATGCGCAATATATTGAAATGCCAAAAAACAAAAATATCTATCTCTGAAACAAACAGGTTACAGGTTATTGATTGATATATTCGCTGCAAGAGTGCAACACTCTATTGTCATCAATTGGTAACCTAATGGCATAGAACTGCAAAGTTGGAATACATCTCTTCTTTTTTACATGTTCCGTTCTATTCTTGGTTGATTCTGTACATGATGCGACTCTTTGTTCAAATAGTTTTACATAAATTTTCTGCATACATTCACATACAACTACAACACTGGTCATGCTAAGGTACTATCCTGAATAAATAGAACAAAGAACTTTAATGCAGACAAGATGTTTGAAGAATTTACTGGACAACAACATATATATTATGTGATATATAATTCTGAAGGATGTTTCATGTCATCTTTTGTTGATCTTTTGGTGCATATTGCAAGACTACAATCATTGTTCATCAAATTAAATTTAGAGAAGTAAAGGCTAAACTTTTTGTTTAATTGCAAGAAAAACACAACTTAAATGGTATCGTTGCGTTTTCAAATGGGAAGGTTAAACAAACCAACATATGGAATACTTTCCACAACTTACCTTTGTCTTTCTATTCATGAAACAATAGCAGTTTGTAAAGCTAACTAGAATCACCAATTCATTACCTACCTTTGTCTTTCTATTCATGGAAAAAGGTTGTATAATGGATTCTAATGAACTTCATGATAGCAAAAAGAGTTTCTGTCATCATAGTCCTTGCACGCTGTCCCTGAAGTTGTATTCATCTTTATGTCTTACCTTTTCATTTTTCCTTTATCTTAGTATTTGCCGAACTTTTGTTCCCAATTTAAGTTTTTCTTTTCTCATAGAAGGGTTGATTAAGATTGTTACCGTTCAAATCCTCCACATGGAATGAAGAAAACATATGTTTTGATCACAGTCTTTGTCTTGCTCTTGTAGGTCGCAGCTAGGTCCATACGGCTTTGGCCCCGCAGTCGGTTATTTACAGGTAAATTACATTTAATGTCAACAACTCAATATCTTTGAATGAGTCTTAGAATTTTACTCATTTTAGGGGAAATTACTCACCACAACAAAGTCTCAACATTCTAATTCTTTTTAATTATATGGTGATTCATCAGCTCTATTCTTTTGTTTTGTTGATATGATCTCAGTGCGTTGAGTATGTGGATATTAGTTAGGAAATCTTAGATTCCATTTGATGGCAGCTGATTATATGTATGTGATAAAAAGTTCTGAAGGAGGAGACTTTCACAATGCTAGCTTAATTGTCTTGGGAATATCCTGTTGAGCCCCTCTGTTCGTGTCTTGAACTATGTAAAGGTAATTTCTTTTTTAAAATTGCACCAAAATCTAACACATACCCAAATAATGCAAAAAATTTCGTTCAAGCAGAGTTTGTGCTGAAAGGATGTGCATGTGAAGGAGAAAGGACTATCACATTCACTGTATCTGATTCAGTAAATAAAGAAATATATGAAAAATGTCTCTGATATGATATATTCCTTATCAAGGGAAGTGTACATTCAACTCCTATAGCCAGAGGAACCATTACTAGCAATCCATGCTTAACAATCTTTGAAGTGGTAGAAGATTCATTGAATGCGATTCTTTACTTATAAGAGTATAAGATATTTCATATCTGATGTTTACATGCAGAGATGGTGATTGTTTGTAACTTTTTGTTGACAGCTTTAATTTTCTTTCAATTTGATGTAGCAAGTGTTATAATTTATAATGCTTCAGTGAATAGAATAAATACATGAGATCATATTATTTTACGTTAGTGCTTATGCAGGCAAAGTCTAAGAAGAGAAATAACACTGAGAAAAGAAAAAAAAAAGTTGTTGTTGTCTCTTATGTTGGGCCCGTGCTTCTAGTTGGTAAGATACAATTCTCAAGAAAGATTAAATGAGTACGCTATATACCATTCAAAAAAGAATTATTAGAAAAAAATTGATAATAACAAAATTATTTACTTTGCATCTCAAAAAATTAAAAGAATAGATTTTTTGAAAAAAAAAAGATTTTTTATTTTTTAAATTTAAGGCCTCCAAATAAAATTTGACTTTAGGCCTCTTAGGTGTTTGAACCGCCCTGAACAAGAAGTTGAAGCAAATATAGGCCCACCCCATATACTGGAGTAAATTTTATTGGTAGTCATTCAACTTTGTGTTCATTATGTAAAAGTCATTTTTCTTCTTTTTGTTACGTAAAAATCATTCAACTTTGTGTTCATTACCCAAAAGTCACCGTTCTTTCTTTTGTTAAGCAAACATTATTATACTTTGCTCTATTTATCACAAAAGTCACCTTGGCCAGATTTTATAATACTTTTACTTGAAAAGTCTATTATGTCCCTGACATTATAAATCCTCTCATTTATATAATACCATCTATATTATATACTATATAATATATTTTTACCTAGGTAATTTACTTATAACTAAAATAACTTTAAAATATTTTATTTATTATTTTTATAATATATCCATATATTTAATTTTTTCATGGCACTCAATTTGTTTAATCAAATTCAAACATGAACACATTTTAAATATAAAAATAAAAAAATATTTTATTTTTAAATATTTATTTAAAATAATAAAAACAAATTTGTTTAACAAATGATAGTTTTTTATAGTCAATACAAATTTTAAAAAAAGTTTCAAAGATATTTGTGTTTAATATTTAGTTTTTTAAAGCTTTATCTGTTAATAATATGTATTTAAAAGTATTAATATGATGTGTCATTTTGCTAAATGTGGGTATTTTATTTATTAATTTAATGGGTATGGCTTGGCTGATAAATCAATGAGCTTTGATTTTTTAGTTTTCATTAAACATATTTCATTAAGCATGATTAAGAACGTGGACTTGAGATGTGTTAACGGCAATGTTACTGGCAAATTTAATAATGCTACTTATATATCTTGAAAATATTAAGAAAAAATTAAATGTACTAATACAACAACAGCCCAGTGAAATCCCACAAGTGGAAAAAAATTAAATGTACGAATATATAATAAAAATAATATTAAGTTATTTCATTTATAAGTAAAATACTTGGGTAAAAGTATATTATATAGCATATAATATATAAAGTATTATATAAATGGGATGATTTATAATGTCAAGGGCATAATAGACTTTTCAGATGAAAGGTTTGTAAAATCTGGTCAAAGTATAATTTATGATAACTAGAGCATAGTAAAATAACTTTTGTGTAACAAAAGAAAGAAAGAAAGGTGACTTTTGAGTAATAAACACAAAATTGAATAACCTTTACGTAACAAAAGAAAGAAAAATGACTTTTGTGTAACGAACACAAAGTTGAATGATCACCATGAAATTTACTGCATATACTAAGATGAGCTTATCATTTGTGCTGCATCTCTTACTATGGACTTAAAAATGTTATCTGGTCCAATGACTTAAACTTGGCACTTGCTCACTTGGGATTTTTTTTTTAGAAGTAGAAATGACACCACATAGCCGCTTTGAGTGCCTTTTTTAAAAACTATTTAATGTTTAACCAATTTTGGCAAACTTCACCACCCTTCATGATGTTGCTGCCGCTTCTTTAAATCTTTAGATTTCTAGTTAGGCTCTGGCGGGGGAGATTGAATTCTTTTTTCTTGTTTTTCAACCTTTGCTCTTGCCTCGGCTGAGCCTAAAGTTTGAATTTGAACTACATTCAAACTCAGAGCTTCGAGTCTATAGTTAGACTCTAAAATCAAGCTTTAACAGCGCCTATTTGAAGTTGATTCTGAAACGGTTTAACTTTAAGATTTTGTAAATTTTGGCTAATCTTTAAATATGGATCCTAAAAACAGCTATTTGTGCACTTTCCCCGTTATAAAAGTATTTATATAGGAGTCTACTCAAAAGGTTGTAATTTCACCTACAGTATTATGGACTTGAAGCACAATGACTATGAAGTATTAACAAGAAATTACACCCTATGACCTTGAAAATGGATGGTCTTAATTTTTTGACCCCTGCTTGCCCCATGAGCAAATCTTTAAAGTAAAAAGTCAAAAGTATTATCCATGGCCAAGTGAGGGCCAACAATTGTTAATCTTGAAGTTTGTCCATATGGCAAGCAGGGTCAAAAAATCAATAATGGCACCGAAGTGTCTTATTTTTGTAAATCACCCAAGTATAAACTGCCAGTTGGGCTTTGGCCCAATTACTTTAGCTCTGTTCTAGCCTAATTGCTCACTTGGCAAGTAAAAGTATCATGTCTTTAGCCCTGAGCTACAGTCCAATGCTCGAGACTCAAGAGGTCACAATTTGAAGTGTAATATGCTACAACAACAACAACCCATTAAAATCTCACAAGTGGGGTATGGAGAGGATAGAGTGTACGCAGACCTTACCTCTACCTCAGAGGGATAGAAATATTATTTCCAAAAGATCCTCGGCTCAAGAAGAAGAAAATAAACTATAGACAATTGAAGTGTACTATGACGAGTACAAATATGTATAGTGACTACGAAGTATGAGCAACTCTGTTGAAATTTCCGTACTCTACTGATGTTGTGAACGATTTACGTTGCTGATACAATAGAACAGTCAAATCCAACCATCTATTACTAATAACTTAGGGAGTAGTTAGTGTAATTCAGATTGTTAAAACTTTTCATTTCAATGACCGAAACTCCATGAGATTTTCTTGTTAAGCTTACATGTACATAATGGTACCAAAAGAAAGGGAAATTTAACTTTCTTCCCGTAACTTTCGGAATAAATTGGTTGCTAGAAGAACTTAACGGACAAGAGTTATATCTTTTCAAGATAAAGAAAGTGCACAAATATGCAACCTCGCTAGAGATGCTTATGCTTCAATTATAAGCAGCTACACTACCAAACAATCAAAGAAAAAAAAACTGTGTGGACCAATCCAAACAAGCAAACACACATCAGTCCTTGGGTCATCCCATATATTAGAAGGGTTTCTTGTTATAAGTTTCCAGTGAACAACTTAACTGTATATCAAACTAATTTAGTTCATCTGAGGATTCCAAAAGGTGTTATCTGCTATCCAGATAAACTATTGTGTAGCTTGTTTATAGTTTTCTACCTTCCATGACCACCATCAACAATAAAATGTTCGTCGCCTATACAAATAAAACTGTTATGACGAACAATGTACATGATGATCCTTGATCAGCCTGGAACTTATGAGGTAACTTTTGATGGCAATGAGCCCTTGAGAAAACATAAAAGGTAAAGTCAACCAACTAATCTTTAGTCTTCAAGTGCTGCAATCTCATACCTAACTTCTTCCAAATGTTCATTTATTGTTGTTACTGCATCTTGAACACCTTGAATAGCCTCCTTGAGAGCATTATCAAATTCTGCATCAGCTTCTGCTTCTTCAGTGCCTGAAGCTTCCGTTATCTTCTGGATGTGCACACATTCATGTACGGTTGGCTTACTGTATCTACAATTTTCATGACTCACCAGACGCTCTGAGGGGCGGCCAGCTTTTTTCAGGACTTGTATTGTGGCGGTCTGCCAGACAAATTGTGAGAAAACATCAAGCAAAATCATATGAAAGCAATGGAATTTTGTCCGGAATCTCAAATACTCGGACAAAATCCATGTCAGCAATCCGACGAAAATTGAAAATTTGGAATAATTATAGAAACTAGGATAAATAGGAAAATAAAAGTTAATCATGGGAAGATATTTTGAGCAAGGATACTGGAAGAGGTTAAATTATTACTCACTTTGTTCCATTTTATACAGCATTAATCCCTTTTTGGTTCGTTCCTAAGAGATTGACACCTTTCTACATTTAGAAGACACTTATTTTTACATTTCCATCTTTCTCCCTAATGGCATGGTCTTACCAGAAGGGACAAGTCTAAGACCATTAGATAGTAATGCTACTTTCTGTATGTCTTGTACATTTAGTTTACAAGTCGGTATTTCTTTCTTAAGTCATATCCCGTCAAACACCGCATATAAATGAAACAAAGTAGTTCATAGTTACCATCATTAAATCCTTCATAACACATCAAATTATCATCGTTATTATGTGTATTAGTTGAAGCTACCGTTAGTTTTGGCTACATATTTCCAACTTCCTTTTCTGGAAAACTTGGTGAAATATTTTTCGGTTTGGTCAGAGCTAGGCTACTATAAACTGATAAACAAATCTGATCCCTGCAACTGCTACATCAGCATAGTGCGTATCATCTAGCATTTTAAATTTTGGGTATTAAGGCCACCATGTTCTCAAAATGCAATCTTAAGTATTAAGTAATTTCTTTCCTTTATTGGTGATTTGGAAGTCATACCTAATGCATAACCTCAATGGTCAAACAAAACTAGAAGCGTAAATTATGAAGACGTTGCCAACAAAATACCAGTGAAATCCTGAATATATTTTATGGAAATTTGTTGATGCAGAGCACCTATAAGAAGATAAAGCTCTCATTCAAGTTTGTGGCATAATTCCACAGCTATGATTACAGATATAGCACTTTTTGTTTGATTCATTATTTGATTACAATTACAGCACTTAAACAGTGTGAAATTATTTCGAAGATCAAAGAAACTAGCACATCTAATGTTTTATGTTATTTTCCAAACTCCAACTTATATGGAGAATGTAACTTAAGATATACACAGCTAAGCAACTAAATCACAGTTACTTTCTCTCAAGCTCATCTTTAGTAGATAATCCACAAAGATTCACTTCCAAACTTTCTCGTTGAGGGCAAAATTCTGATGTGAGTTTAAGTATGAAGAACATTAGAAATGTCCATACAAGTTTTGGGATAGAGGGAATTGTAGAGTAATGTCTCAGGATCATGATAGGCAGCTACGTAAGAAAGGTAAACGATATAAGGCCAATAAATGAAGTTGATAAAATTAAGTCGAAGTTGCAGCATAGAAGCTTCGCCTGGACAACATTTACAGATTGGGAGTCATGTCACGAATGAGATTTGAATGGAATGGGGTACTCTGATATTTTTTATAAAAATATAAATGAAGTCATCAAGCAAAATCATACAAGAAAAGGATCTTAAAAGAAATCCTTCACACTATTATGGAACCTTTTCAGATGACCTAAATACTGAAGTGCACACATTACACAAAGGATAAAAACAGAACAATGAAGTTTCACCTTTACTCTTTTGTCAGCATGAGTTTATTGAAACCTGTATGCATAACGAGTGTAGAAAACCCCAAGAATATTCAAATATTCTGTCCATTAACGAGAAGAGCCAGAACCTGTTCAATAAATAACCCCTTATTGTAATATTTATTCCATTTATCACTATCTCCCTGCCAACTTTAGTCTATTTTAATCATTAAGGCCTTTGCCTTACCAGCATCCAATTGCAAAGGTAAGCTCTCTTACTGCAATTTGTTTCACACAGATCCTCGAACAACAATTTAAAAATGTACTCAACAGCTGCTCTCAATAATCAAATTCCAATGTTTGTAGGTGCTCATAAGCTCCTGATATTCATTACCTTTTTACATGAATAGATTATTAACAAGTCCAATAATGTTATGACTAACAAAACTCAGATGGGCAAGTCTTTCTCATAAGACCTAAACAAGCTAGTCTATCCAAATAGAGGCAACAAATTGAACAACAAAAACATAAAGAAAATTGAGGGTTAAGCCAAGCACGGTCGGAACAATTCAAGATTAGGACATGTAACCCCTTTGAGCATTAAGCAGGTAAAACAGAAAAGTTGTATGTTTCGACTACATTAAGAAGAGCCACTGATGCACAGAAACAAAAAATCCACAGAACACAAACTAATGCACAGCTAATATATACATATATATATAAAAGTAACTAACTGCAAATTTAGGGACAGAATTACCAGTTGCAGCTTGATCTTTTCTTGATTTTGAATAGATCTCAGAAGGTGAGCCAGATCCTCCCGGAAGCAATGGGGAGTTAGAAACTGAGACTCCATTTCAAGGACCTGGAGTGGTGAAGATACTTAGAAATTGCAATTGTTTAGAGCTACAAGCCAAACCACAGTTGCGAACAGCAGAATGTAGGATTAAAACGCCACTGGTAGAGTTGGGGTATAGTGAGTGATGATAGTGAAGGGATCATAATAGTGTATTAAGGGGCTTGTGGATGGGATGGATAAACTTTATCTCATGTTTGGCTATGCATCATGTGTAGGATGGTAGCTGAGATTGCTTACTTCTGAACACTTGTAATTTCACTGTGTAATTATTATACTCCCTCCGTTCACTTTTACTTGTCCACTTTGAACTTTTCACGCCCCTTAAGAAATAATAATTGTAGTATGCATTTTACCATATAACCCCCAATAATGATAGCATTTCAAAAGTCATGGGAAATAATTTTGAAAATGAGTATTTAATGATCGGGGTAAAACAGAAAAAAAAGATTGTCTTTCTCTTGATTTAGTATAGTGGACAAGTAAAAGTGACAAATATATTTTTAGTATAGTGGACAAGTAAAAGTGAACGGAGGGCTTGGTGCGGGTCAATGGGAGGGAAAGGGTCAAAGATGGACTCTTCATCCCTATCTGGAAGGAGATAAGCAGGTAAAAATTAAGGAGGGTTTTCTCATAGGCAGGATTACGGTGCGAGTGAATTGCTATTCCATAGATAAAGTTGGGATAACAATTCTATCTCTTAATCCTCTCTCCCGCTCCCTCAAAACAAACCAGAAGCTAGACTAATATCTGCATGATGCATCAGCATACTAACCTGTTTTGAACAATCATTAAATTCAACAGTGATCTCACTGCATAGCTGTTGGTAAGTTGATTCTACTCCCGAAACCATAAAATCTTCGAAACCTCTGTATGTTGAAGGGCATGAATAGACCATTTAGAACTGCAACTCATCCATATTAAAAGATAAAAGAAAGATGATACCTCTTTATGCTCTAAAAGCAAAACACCAACCTCAAGCCACGGCAATCAAATTTGACATGAAAAAAGCTATTGCTACGATAATCAGATCAGATTGGTTTTCTGCCCATAGATGGGGCAAAATAGGAATGAGAAACAGACATACTTATATATAGCTAAAACATCAAAATTCAGTAATGAATATCATAAAGCTTGAATGCCAAACAACTACCCATCTCCCTCATCTTCCATGCTACTTCTCTTATCTCCTCTTTTTCTTTTTAGTTTTTTCAGGGTGAGGATGCATAAAAATTATTCATATATTTTTATAGCTAATAATATATTTTTTCATAAAATAAATAAATATTATTTATTTATTTTAGGACGAACAAGATGCCCGATGAGTGGAGGCGGAGTATGATGATCCCGTTATACAAGAACAAGGGGATGTCAAAAACTGCAACAACTATAGGGGTATCAAGTTGTTAAGCCATACGATGAAAGTGTGGGAGAGGGTGATTGAAGGGAAGTTGAGGAGGTGTGTGTCCATTTCCGAGAACCAGTTTGGTTTCATGCCGTGACGGTCGACTAAGGCTGGCAAGTGGGCCGGTCCAGGCCCGGGACCGCGGACCAAACGGGCGAAACGGGCCAGGACCGTTAGGCCCAGGTTTAGTAGGCCTGGGCCTGTCTCGTGGGCCGGTCCTATGCTTTGGGCCCGCCAGGGACCGGNATAAAATTTACAAAGCATTGCTTTAGATATTTTTTTTAACATCCTTTTGTCTCTAATATCTATTTAATTTTTTTTTTTTTAAAAACATCCGTTGGGCCCATTTAGCCCGCGGGCTGGGACCGTTCCCGGGCCGGTCCCTACAAAAGGACTGTTTAGCCCCGGACCGTTTGGCCCGTTTAATTTGGGACCGGCCCGTGACCGGGACCGTTTGGACCGGCCCACTTGCCACCCTTACGGTCGACTACTGAGGCCATTCACATTGGGAGGAGATTGATAGAGCAGTATAGGGCGGTGAAGAAGGATTTGCATATGGTGTTCATTGACTTGGAAAAAGCCTACGACAAAGTATGGAGATGTTTCGAGGCTAGAGGAGTGCTTGTAGTGTAAATTAGAGTGATTCAGGACATGTATGATGGGGCTAAGACACGGGTTAGGACAGCAGGAGGAGGCTCTGACTACTTTCCGGTTGAGATGGGGTTGCATCAGGGATCAGCACTTAGCCCATTTTTGTTTTCCCTGGCGATGAATTCTTTGACGCGTCACATTCAAGGGGAGGTGTCTTGGTGCTTGTTATTTGCGGATGACATAGTCCTGATTGATGAGACGCGAGGTGGCGTTAACGAGAGGCTGGAGGTCTGGAGACATACTCTAGAGTCTAAGGGTTTCAAGTTGAGCGGGACCAAGACAGAATACTTGGAGTGCAAGTTCAGCGGTATTACCCAGGAGGCGGACAGGGATGTGAGACTCGATACGCAAGTCATTCCAAGGAGAAAGAGTTTCAAGTATTTGGGATCCATAATTCAGAAGAATGGGAAAATAGATGATGATGTCACACACCGTATCGGAACAGGGTGGATGAAGTGGAGGCTCGCTTCCGGTGTCTTGTGTGATAAAAATGTGCCGTTGAGACTTAAGGGTAAGTTCTACAAGGTAGTGGTTAGACCGACTATGTTGTATGGGACAGAGTGTTGGCCAGTCAAAAAGTCCCATGTCCAGCAGATGAAAGTAGCGGAAATGAGGATGTTGAGATGGATGTGTGGGCATACTAGGTTGGATAGAATTAGGAATGAAGTTATTCGGGACAAGGTAGGAGTGGCCCCTGTAGAGGCAAAGATGCGTGAGACAAGGTTGAGATGGTTCGGGCATGTTAAGAGGAGAAGCACAGATGCCCCAGTCAGGCGATGTGAAAGGAGGGGTAGAGGTAGGCCAAAGAAGTCTTGGGGAGAGGTGATCAGGCGGGACATGGAGCAGCTTGAGCTGACCGAGGACATGACCCTAGATAGAAGGGTGTGGAGGTTGAAGATTAGGGTAGAAGGTTAGTAGGTAGTCGTGCACTTCCCTTTGTCTTCTCTAGTTCAATAGTATTAGTGCTAGTATGGTACCCTGTTTTTCCTTAGTTTGCTATATTCGCATGTTTTGTTCCGTTACTACTTGCCATCGGTAATTCCGTAGTTTGTTAGCAGTACTTCGTTCATATTCTCGTGTGCTGCCTTGGATTTATTTCTCTAATTATACTGTCTTGCTATTAATTGTTATCGGTACCCCTTTCATATTCTCTGTTGCTATCTTCGATTTAGTTTTCTAATTATTGGTCTTGCTATTACTTGATATCAGGGCTTCTTTTACCGTCTTTAGCTGAGGGTCTATCGGAAACAGTCTCCCTGTCCTTCCAGGGTAGGGGTAAGGCTGCGTACATCCTACCCTCCCCATACCCCACTTGTGGGATTATACTGGGTGGTTGTTGTTGTATTATGCTCAAAACTCATATTTACTAACAAGTATTGCAGGAAGAAGAATTACCATAGACGAAGACAAAATATGGAACTCTAGAGAAAAAAATAATGGAAGGAAGAAAAGGCCCGATGAATCTGTGGGACATGACAAAGAATCAAAAAAGAGAAGAAATGAAGCCATGGATTCATCTAGGCCTTAACTCAAGATCCATCTACACTTACAATCTTATATATAGGCTAGCATGGCTTAAGAGAAAACATCAAGTATTAAGGAGTAGACATTGTTATCTTGGTCTTTCACTCTCTTTCACTTAAGTTTTCTTCTAGTCTTTTATTTTGCAAGTAAAAATAATACTCTTTCAAGAGTTCTTCTTTCTTGTCTTTGTTAAAATTAAATACTTCTTTACGGAGTAATTTCTTTTTGTTGGGATAATTGATGAAACTTGATATATTATTATAATTTCAATTTCAATTTCATACGTGCTTGTCATGAAAATTTCTATTTCATATCTATTATGTACTAGAATGATAGATTCTAGTTATTATTGTCACATTCATCTATTTTATTTCTTAATTATTCTTGTATAAATTTTGAAACTCTCACAAAGCAAAATTGATACATTATATAGTTATTTAATAAAATAGAGTGATAGTAATTTGTAACTATTTATTATTCCGAATCTTCAATCTTGCTTCTTTCAAATCTAATCCTCAAGGAGGAATTGACTCGAGCAAGGCGACTGATTCAAAAATCTTTATCTTATTTCTTTCAATTCTAATTCTCAAGAAAGGATTGACTCAATTAAGATTAATGATTCGGTGAAAATAATCTCAAGAGATTTTCACTAATTTTAGTACAATTCAGGCAAGAACATTATTTCAGTTTTTACCGTCACTAGATAACAATTAATTAATATATATATCCTAGTGTGTTGTTCTAGTGGTGAGCACCCTCCTCTTCCAACCAAAAGGTTGTGAGTTCGAGTCATCCCAAGAACAAGGTGGGGAGTTCTTGGAGGGAGGGAGCCGAGGGTCTATCGGAAACAGTCTCTCTACCCCAGGGTAGGGGTAAGGTCTGCGTACACACTACCCTCCCCAGACCCACTAGTGGGATTATACTGGATTGTTGTTGATGTTATATATCCTCACGAAGTGATATTAATTGATTATTTTAGAGTGAGTAAATATAATTGTATCCGCAATAAGCAATTATTCTTCGGCAAAATATATGACTAAAATAGTTTTATAATAACATTATCAAGTGAATTCAATGATTCCCAACTCTTTTTAAATATAAATCTTTCGGAAGTTGTTTGATATTGTTTAAGTAAATTTATAATTCTAAGATCCTACTCTCCTTCCATCAATTTGATTCTCTAAGATAGTAGTTAAAATACCATAAATTTGTAGCATAGATCTTCCAATCTCTGTGGAACGATATCATAAACTATATTATAATTTGACAGAGTACGAGCCTTAATTTTCTATACGCCAGAAGCTCGTCAAATTTTTGGCGCCGTTGTCAGGGATTGGCATACATCTACTTCAGATTAGATATTTTGTTACTAATTTGAGCACTTATTATTACTATTTATATCTTTTTTTAATTACCGTTATCAGTATCAACTAAATACTATAACTATTATTGTTACAAGTATTGACGTTCAATAGAAGTATTATACAAGTTTTTATCATTGTCAGTACTTTCATCACTATATCGTACTATTGTCAACTATATTCATAAGAGTTTTTATTATTGTTAGTTCTTGGTGAAATGAAAGACACAAGTGTTTCTCTTCAGTTTGCAGATCAAAGTACTAAGAAAGCTAAGGGAATAATCAAAAATGTACTTGTAAGAGTAGATAAATTTGTTTTCCATGTAGATTTCATAGTGTTTGAAATGAAAGAATGTCCTGATGAACCAATAATTTTGGGTAAACCATTTCTTGATACAGTAGAGCAATCATCTATCAAACAACTAATCTTGAGAGTTGATGAAGAAAAAGTCATTTTTGATATGCAAAAGATACTAAGGTTTTCATGAGATGAGACATCATCCTCCTGCTTTTTAATTTGACATGCTTAGTTATCTTGTAGATGAATTCAAAGATGGTCAATTAATTTTAGACTCAATGGAAAGATGCTTGGCCAAATCAGGCACCACAAAAAGATGATGATCCCATAATCAGGAGTGAAGCTGAAATATTGGAAATAGATTCCAAGGACATGGACATCCAACCATATGAAGTTCAACCAAAAATTGAACTCAAAGTTCTCTCTTCCTATTTAAAATATGTTTATCTTGAGCAAGAATTATTTCCAATGATTATTTCATCTTCTTTGACGGCAGAACAAGAAGAAAAATTAATTGAAGTATTGAAAGCTCACAAAGGAGCTTTAGTTTTGGACTGTAGCAGATAGCAAAGGAATTAATCTAGCTATTTGTATGCACAGAATTCTCATGGAGGATAGCTACAAGCCAATA